CAATTCGTATTAATCTTGCTGAAGAGTTGGAAAGTTTTCTGCTTATCCCAGCAAATGGGCTATAAATAGAACTCCAGATTCGGTATCTGTGTCAGTATAATCCTCAAAGGTAGTGCAGTTGGTTGAGACATTATGCTACAAGCAAGGTCACGGGTTCGAATGCCAATGAGTTCACTATATTTTTCAATTAACCTAATCCTTCCACTCACACTATGGCTCTGGGTTCCACTCAGCCTAATACTAGGGATCTTCTTTGAGTAAAGGGCTGTCAGCACATAAGGCTGACAACCTCACAGCCATCTGTGGGGCTGTGTCTAGAAAATGTGGGAGCCTTGACATCTCACAATCCTATGAGCTTCCATGGCCTGTTATAGGGAAAGTTTCATCTTACCTTTACAGGAATGGTCATTAATGACACATTTCACATCAGTCATGTCAAACTGCTGAGTGTGTGAACAAGTGAGACAATAGTGGGACTCAAAATTCAACGTCTACTTCAGTAACATGCATGAATATACACTAAGATGCATTTCTGTTACTCTTTGCTATAAAAATAATGAAATACTGAGTTGTTTCTTTTACAGTACTAGCAAAACTAACTAAACATCTTCATAGTATGGTGCTTAGTTAATTAAGCATAGGGACATTTTCACCTTTTACCTCTTTACCATCAGTGAAATTAAAAGAAATGACAAATGCAACTCTCCAGTTATGGCCAATGTATAATTTTCAACAGATGTGGATGAGTGTGTTCAAAATCTGCATTCCTGCAGTCAGGGTTCTGAGGCCTGCTTCAACGTGGCAGGATCGTATATGTGTGGCTGTCAGTGGGGTTACCTGTTTGATACTGATACACAACAATGTGTTCAGAATGATGCTCTCATAGCTGTTGAAACAGAAGCCTCCAGGAAGCAGACATCCACAGAAGTAGAGCCTGGTAAGCTACTGAATTCAGAGGTTATATTAGCGTAATAATAACAGAACTTTTAGAAAACACAAATAACTTTACCCCAAGACAATGATTTAAGTTAATGTCCACTGAAGATTTATTTTAATCAGCTAATTTCTGTCTTCCCGGGCCCCCTTCTCTTTCTGGTGTTGCATCCACAGCACTGCAACATTTTATCTTCCATCTCCTACACATGTTTAATTTCAAATCCATTCTTTACTTTCTGCACTTGGTTCTACATGTATGTAGTCCTTCATAGATGTAATCCAGAATCAACAACAGCATAGTGTAGTTCAAAGGATTAGCCTACACATACACGTATTTTCCAGGCACATGGTAGCATAGCTGGTTGGGGCACTATGCTACAAGACGGAAGGTCATGGGTTCAAGCCCCGATGAGGTCATTGGATTTTTTCAATGGACCTAATCATTTCAGCTGCACTATGACCCTGGGGTTGACTCAGCCTCTGACAGAAATGAATACCAGGAATATTCTTGGAATATTCTTGGGGGTAAATGGCAGCCGGCATGTAGGGCTGACACCCTTGCTGCAATCTATGAGCTGATTGTCTGGAAAATGTGGGAACCTCAACATCTCACAACCCTACGGGCCTCCACAGCCTGTTACAGGGATACCTTTACTTTTACTTTTTACTTTATTTAAGTCTTCATAAGTCACTGGCATTTATATTCATTTATTCAAAACCAAGCTCTTTGCTATAAACTAGTAAACAGCCCAGATATTGCACTGCAAACACAAATCATTTTCACTTATATGTAATTAAATATTCCTCATTTAGAAAAATAAAAATTGTACATCTTAATGAGACCTGTACTTTATTAATGAACAAATTACATTTATGGTCAGCCATTCTTCACAAAAATAATGAGGAATTTTAAATTCATGTGAAATAAGGCATGAACCAATACAGAACAATGTCGTCAAATTTGCTTGACAACTGTTGATGCAAAATTTCATTGAAATCACATGACTAAATTTTAGAGCTGAAATATGCAGGTTGTACTTTAAGCAAAAATGCTTCAAGACCCTAGAAGTCCACTTGGTCAGATGAATAAAAATTTAATTCTGGTGCCTAAAATACTACATAACTGGCCTGGTTATATTTCAGACAAGGTGGTGGCTGTGTAAGTAGGTTTGACTCCTAGCTAGAATATATTTTGGTGTTTCTCTTTTTGCTGTTACATCCACACTGGCTCTAGGATTGATCTAACTTCTTTCCTTGGGGAATGTGGCCACCAATCTTCATCTGTCATGGTGGTCTAGAATGTCTGGTGCTCTACCTCAGTGTCTCCCATACTCTGTGACATGGCACTTAGGCTCCAGAGCAACTTCGCTACACCTGTACTAAATACTGTTCCTTGCATACTATTAAATACAAATGAGAACAGTACAAGCACGTTTAGTCTATGGAATGAAGACTGCATATTTGTGTATTCTCTGTTGTTATTGAGGGGCACGCAGTAGCATAGTTTTTTGAGGCACTATGCTACAAGCTGGAAGGTCGTGAGTTCAAGTCCCGATGAGGTCATTGGATCTTCTTCAATTGACCTAATCCTGCCAGCTGCACTATGGCCCTTGGGTTGACTCAGCCTCTAACAGAAATGAGTACCAGGAATATTCTTGGGGGTAAAGGGCTGTGGCATGTAGGGCTGACAACCTTGTTTCCATTTTGAGCCGATTGTCTAGAAAATGTGGGAACCTCAACATCATATAACCCTATGTGCCTCCATGGCCTGTTACAGGGATACCTTTATTTTTTTTACTTTTTACTGTTGTTACTGAACCAAATGATTCATCATAATGTTCACATAAGCGTGATGCTGGGTTAAATACTAGACAGTAAAAATGGTAAGATTAATAACTTTGAAGTTTTTTCTTCTTTCAGTATCCATCACCAAGATGATTGCAGGATGGTTTTCTAAGAGTGCCGGAACCAGTGGAACGAGAGTGGATGGCAAAATTATGAAGACCTGCATAATTGCAGTGGGCCTAATTGGTTTTGCTCATTTATTCAATGTACATTCCATAAACTGGTAATATAAATGTAATAAAACAAGCAATACACATTGTAGCATATACGAGTACAGCCACTGTTATTCAATGGCAACTGTACAACAACCATTTCCAAACAAAGACTCGGTAAACATGTTCCTGCAGAAACAAATGTGCACACAACTTAACAGGGTGTTTTCTATGTGGTCTCTGTCAAGATGTTATGAGCAGGACAGTTTTGAAGCAATGAGTGAGTACAGCAAAAGGGTTATGTTCTCAGAAAACTGCAGCAAAGTCTCAGTGCTATTGAGAAGTGGTATGAGCGCTGGAATATAAAAACCAACGGAGATAAGACTCAGGCCATCTACTTTTCTCATCAACTTAAGCCCTTTGAAGCTCATCTTATTTAGTTACGTTAGTTATTGGAGAGGGTGGGTTTCCCCATGCACTCAGACCTGTATTGGTCCATTGTGCTTTCCTCTATGATTTCTACCAGTTTCTATATCCTACCGGTACTGGTGCTTACCATCAGTTCCGCCCAGCCAGCGAGACCGGCTCTACTAGCTGAGAGGTATCTATAATGCTTCCCCCATCTACCAGAGGTATTAGAGACTGCTGTTGGGCGGGAAACGTCCGTTAATTTGGCTCAGTGACTTCCTTTGGAGATATGAGGTTCTTTTACGTGCCGTAAAGCTACGACACGGGACCCACGGCTTAAAGTCCCTCCCGGAGGACTTGTTCCCTGAATTTTTCCGCCCTTAAAAATTCGACGACCTCCGCCGGGTATTTGAACCCACGTACTATGAGTCGTGAGGTGGGAATGTTACCTCTAGACTATGGAGGCCGCTTGAGGCTCATCTTACATCAAAGGGATGAAATATCCCTTTTGTTAATCGTGTAATCTTTGAAAAAAAGGACTACATGGAAGCTGCACATGGAGAAGACTGAAGCCAAGGCCTTCAGAACATTTATTAGAATCTACTCCATATTCAACTGTGAGCGTCTAAGCACTAACATTAAATCAACCTTTCATAAAGGACCGATCAAAACAGTAATGACTTATACCTGGGCTGCTGGGAACTAGCAGCAGACATTTACCTCTTAAAATTGCAGTGCCTACAAAGCGAGGTGCAGAGCAGTCCGTCATTTGCACACAGCTTTCAACCTTCCATGTGTATAAGATTATGTAACAAAATTGTGCAGGCAACAAGCAGAAATCATACAAATCATAAGAATGAACATGTTCGTGCTATAGGACAAGGTGAAGCCACACATAGAAAATATAAGAGGCTTAAAATTGGCGGGTGGTCAAGCTTATGATCGTTCAAGTGACTAAGCTGCCGTTGCAGCATAAGACATGTAAGAGAGGCATGATTGGCTTTGCAAAGCCTGTACTGACAGAGGACTTGCATATAGCGTAAAAGGAAGAATTTACAGTGACATACTACGTGTGGGACATGTACCAATGGTACACTTGACATATTTATTTAACACTATCTTCAGCTGTTCCATTTTCAAAAAGCATTGGAAGGAAGCAAAAGTCATATGATACTGACACCTGGTAAGGACCCAAAATTGCCTCAAAATTTAGCCTCTTGTCCAAAACAGGCAAACTATTTGAGAAAGTCATTCTTAAAGTAGTACAAAAGGACACTGGATGAAGAGACCTGCTTAACACAAGCCAATTTGGTTTCCGTGCACATCACAGCATGACACTGCAATGTATGAGACTAACAGACCACATGACCCATGAGTATGGGTGAGCAGATCTATGGAGCCACATTTTCTTGACCTCGGCACTAGCTTGAGGTGAGCAGTCAGCTTCACGCCGCGGCCACTTTACTCCTGGCAAAAGAGCTCCCAGTACCCATTGGATAGGAGGTTGGGTGGATCCCAGAGCCTGTCTAGACAATGCGGAGAAGAGAACATTTTTGACCTTGCCGGGACTCGAACCCTTGACACCTCGGTCATGCAGCCCATCGTCAGTTGCTATACTGACTATGATATCCCGGCTCCTGGTTGAAAAAGAATGTCACATAAAATACAATCTTTGCTTTATTTACAAACTTACAGTGTTCTTCAATGATAAATATTAGTCATATACATTTACAATACATAAACAAAAGAAATATTCACATTATGAACACATATTCTTACTGAAGTATCAAGGTCATCTTGTCACCTGTTGCTGCAGGGATAGGACAGAATTAACAGTGGCCAGTACCTCCACCAGATGGCTCACTAATGCTGACATTGTATCCTTATCACTGTCTCTCAGAGTCATGCTGTAGAGGTTCTTGTACATTTGGGCCAAATTCCCTGACCTGAAATTCAGGATATAATTTAATAAAAAATACAAGAATATTTGGTCATAAGAGGCTCAGAATAGGGTCCAGTGGCATATGTTCATAAGCATCATGCCAAATGTTTGAATTCTACATTTTCAGATACCAAATACACAATCGTACAAGTGAGAATACTAATTAATTCTAATCACATCACACCACCCAGACATTTGAATTCCACACTGCATAAGCATATACGTCTCTGTTCATTTTCAACAAAATAATTCACCTCACAACAGACAAGGAAGAGAAAATAAATTACCATACATAAATTTAATATTTTTATCTCATGTCCATAGTTTCTGGAAATTTTCAATCTTAGCAGCCTACTTCATATTGAATGGTTCTAAGTACGAATCTGTCCCAAAGACTAGCTATCCTGATGGGTTTCTTCCTGTGGCTTTCCTCAGTCCCTCGAAGTAGGTGCTGGAATAATCCTTTAAAACAGGCCATTGTACCTTTTTCCACACCCTAATTCAGAATAATCCTACCATTCACATGACATATGCAATTCAGCAAAGGAACAATGATTAAATAATCCAAGAATCATTCAAATGATTGATAAAGTATGAGAAGAAGGAAGCAATCGTGCCTTATTCAAAAATACTACCTTGGCATTTGAAGCAGCTCAGTCGGTAAAGTGGCTGGATACAAGTTGGATGACTGAGGTTTGATTCCTGGCAGTAGTGAAAATTCTTCTCACCATAGCATTCAGACTGGCTACTATCAAATGGTGTACTAGGGACTATTCCACTAGGAGTCAAGTGGTCACAGCACGAAGCTGCTCACTCACCTTCACCCAGTGCCAAGGTTAGAAGTCATGCTTTACTTACACTGCCTCATCATGTCTTCAAGATGTGATGTCCAGCACAGGGAAAATATTAGTTTTCTTTTTCTTTAAATTTGCTTAGTGGGAGGTGGAGTCCAACTGGGTCCACTCGTCGTGGCGGTCACTGATTGGCCTATTGTAGCCTGCCCCTGGTGATTATGATGATGGAGAATTTGATGGAATGAAGATTGGCAGGGGAAATTGAAGTACTCGGAGAAAACCTGCACCAGGGCCACTTTTTCCACTACAAATCTCACTTGACCAGACCCGGGATTGAACCTGGGCCGCTGCAGTGGGAAGCCAGTGACTAACCACTTGAGCTATGGCATGGCCTAAATATTACAGTTACCTTAACCAAGAATTTCTTGGAGAGACTGAGGAGAACTGCACAATCTTTTGGCCAGAAGATCTGGGACCATGGCCAGGGCTTCTGAACAGAAGTCAAAAGAATTACTTCTTGAGCTAACCTTAGTGAACTACACTCTAGTGGTCTGGATCAGGCATTACCATACATAACCAAATCTAGCACACGTATTTCTTGCATTATTATCAAACACCTGCAGTCAACAATAACACTGTCGGAAGATGGAGAGTGAAAACCTATTTATGTAGTGACAACCCACAGAAGTGAAAATTTTCATGGTTGATCATGATGACATTTAGGCCTCCACAAACTTTCTACAAATATTGCCAATTCATATAACCAGGATGCATGACAGAAAACTACAGAATTTAAACATACATATTATTTTGGGGTCAGAAACTCTAAAACAGGCTTATTATTTCACACCATGAAAAAAATATGGTTTTGAATGGCTATCTGTCGAAGTGCAGCACTGTTTATCGATATTATGTTACGGCAGATAATTTAACAGGCTTTGATTTCTTACAAAAGACTCTAGCACATGCGCATGCACGCACACGCACGCGCGCACATGTATACAGGTATTCACAGCAACTCATCATAAAGAAAGCCTCTATAACGAACATGCAGATTAACTGTGATTGGTTTCAAACCACTAGGTTAAGCTAATCATAATTTTCCATACTTTTATAATCAAACCTTTGATCAGGACTATCAAAAAAGTTGTGTCACTGGTCAAAAGCTGCAATCTGCATCATGAATCAACACTACAAGGTGCATAATGTAAAATTCTTATAAATATTTCAGAGGGTACTATCTGCCACAAAAAATGTGAGGTGCTTAGAACCTGTTGAGCCTTCATGACTGGATCATAAAAATAACAATGATGTTGAGATGCTCATATATGAGGATGATGATGGAACTACAAGTACAGGGCATTCAATCATTGAGCAAACCAGGGGATCAGCATGAGTTGTATATAACATCTCTCACAGAGTGCTGCTGTAACTGCCGACAGCAGAATGAGTCATCAGCACTGATAAACACACAAACACATGCTAGTGTAGAGCGTATGGATTGTTTCTCCGTGACTACTGTGCCCTTCCCCGCTAGCGAGAGTGCAGTCATGTCGCTGATTCCCTCGCATCAGTTTCTGTACATGCACACATTTACAGGAATACTGTAAAAAGATAACAGACTTACTGTGCTTTATAACAGGTACTGTAAGTGAATCCCTTCTGCTTGCAAGCATGCCTCGCATCGCATAAATAAATCATGCGACACTTTCTGAAGTTGGTTCACGGCAATTGGACTAATTATGCATATAAAATCCTCAGCTATACAGCAAATTCCATTGCATAGTGAAAAGATGGGGGTGTGGTGTGCTGTAAGTCTGCGCCGAATCATGGGCCCCTTATTGTTCCATGAAGTCGTAAACTCTGACCGCTACGTTAATGATATACTGAATCTGTTCTTCAACCAGCTGACTGCTGAAGAAAGACAATATGGGTATTTTCAGCAAGACAATGCTACAGCACATATGGCTAATACATCCATGGTCGCAATACAGGAAGTGTTTGAAGACAAAGTAATCAGCAGGGGACTGTGGCCTCCCAGATGCCAAGATATCAGTTTATCTTTGGGGAAACCTAAAGAGAAAAGTCTACAAGAATAATCCTTGCACCACTGAGGCTCTACAGAATGAAATAACACACGTAATTAGCTCAATTGCAGTGGACCAACTTCAGAAAGTGTCGCACAATTTATTTATGCGATGCGAGTCATGTTTTCAAGCAGAAAGGGGTCACTTCCAACACCTATTTTAAAGCACGGTAAGTTTGTTATCTTTTTACAGTACTCCTGTAAATGCGTGCATGTACAGAAACTGATTTGAGGGAATCAATGACACGACTACACTCTCGCTAGTCGGGAAGGCCAGTCATGGAGAAATGACCCATCCGCTCTACTCTAGCAAGAGTGCGCATGTTTATCAGCGCTGGTGGCTCATTCTGCTATCAGCAGTTACAGCAGCACTCTGTGAGAAATGTTATATCTAACCCATACCATTCTCCTGGTTTCCTCGATGGTTGAACGCACTGTATAAAAGAGTTACATAAACTATACTGTTCAATATACTTACTCTTTATCCTTCTTAGCACTTCCAGTTTTGGAAAGGCAGAGCTTGGTCAAGCTGCGAAGGACAAACTGCAGTCTCTGCTCTACCAGCCGTACCAGAGAACTCTCCTCCTCCTCTTCAGCTAATTCTTCCTTGTTCTCAAGTTCATTCTGGGGCACATCACTGCCACTATTACGCTGTGTCTCTTTGCTACATCCCTCTCTATTGTCACAGCCTGAATTTCCAACATGTTCCTTCAAAATACTTTCAACTTCTGTAGGATCCACTGTATGAGATTTAGAATTATGTACCATGCCTTTGTCTGTCACTGTGTCATGAACACTGTATTCTGTTGCCTTAACAGTTTCATCTGCTGATCCTTCACAAACATTGCTTACACATGTTTCATCTACATTCTGTTCTCTTGCAATCTGAATTTCAGGATTTATTTCAGTACACTCATCATGGGCCTGTTCAGATTCTCCTGAAAAAAGACTAACCCTCGCTGCCTGGGCTTGTTCCAATATCACCTTCAGCATAGGCTGACACTGGAGAAGGAGATCCAGGGCCATCTGCAGTGGCTTCAACTTCCCTCCATAAGTAGAAGCATCTGAAAATTATTAACTATTGAATACTGTACAGAAGTAATTCTTGGCAGAAGAGTTCAATGGTTCTACACAGTTAAACCAAGTAGACTGGTGCAAAAGTAACATTTCAGTCCTGTACTCAGGATGCATCTCGTTTGAAACTCAGCTGGATTATGATCTATCCTGAGACACTTATGGTTTCTCTGTTTCTCCAGGCAAATCCTGGAATAATGATTTGAAAGAGGTTACAACTGCCTTCTTCCAAATCTTTTATTTCCTCATCATTCATGACACCTTACCATCTCATCTCATACTATATAACTCCTGATGTTAAAACAGCATTATCAAATAACCTACACATCCACTAACACATTTAACAACATAGCTCACTTCAAAATACTTTCAAGTAAAAGAACACAAAAGGTTGAACATCATTAATACCATAGCCTGCCTACTGTAAATGTACTAAATGAGCTGCAGAAATCACAAAGTTCTGAAATATCCTATATTCCTCATTTACATTTCCCTCAAATTCAAATATTTTCTGAGGCATTTTACTTCCAGACATTTGCAATTCACATAACATTCTCCAACAACAGGGCCACATTTCACAACCATAAAAAATGACAGGAAAACTATTCTCTTATACACCTTAATTTGTGTCTTTCAAAGTAAAATGTGGTGACGACAACCACATGGTTGGAGAACATAAGCTTATGCAAATGGCTGTGTTCCTGAGATACAACTTCAAAATTCCAACACTGGCTGGAAGGACTTATCAGAATAAGAAATCTATCAGGATAGCCAGTCCCCTGGTTCAAATTTGAAAAATATACACTAAACCATTATGTAGGTCTGATACGTGGGTCATTTCATAAATAATGCACAGGTTGGCAACATTGTNAGGTGTATTTCAGTGTATAAATCTACAATAGAACAGTTTCAACTATAATAGGCTATGTACCGTACTTCAGAAGCTTTATAATGAAGAACCATTGGCCTGCATCACAAAAGGTAAGCTTAAGTAGCGTTTTATGGTGTAAAAAATTAACGATGTTAAATTTATACCGGTATATCTGGCTTGTATATGTGTACTTCGGTTTATCCGATGTTTTTGATTATCCGCGCCAAGTCTCCCCGCCATTACCGCGGATAATCGAGAGTCTACTGTATTTTGTTTCATTTATAATGTACTCTGTTCTTAAATAATGTGAGTTAGAAATGGAGCCTGCACAGTTCTTGGGTATTGTGACTGCTGAAGATCAAAGGTTGTACATTAAGATCAAAACTTTACGTGGAAAAAACCTGACAGAAATCCACAGTGCTTTATGTGAAGTTTGTGCCGAGTTAACAGTGGACCGTAGTACAGTTTCTTGCCGGGCTAGTCGTTTTCGTGGCAGTCGTGTGAGCATAAACGATGATCCAAGGCCAGGAAGGCCGAAAACATCAACAGATGAATGAAGTGTGAAACTTGTGTCAGATGCTCTTGAAGAAGATCATCGTGCGACATGTGAGGAACTTTCTGAAACCACAGGGATTCCACCAACGTCAATATTCTGAATTCTGACAAATGATTTAAAGAAGAGAAAGACTTCTGTGTGATGGGTCCCTCACTGCTTGACTGCTGAACAGAAGCAGAAATGCCTCAACATTGCAACCTTGCTGAAACAAAGATTCGACGTTGAAGGTCAAGCATTCTTGTATCGACTTGTCGCTATTGATGAAACGCGGGTTAGACTTTGAACCAGGGCTGAAATCACAGTCCAATGAGTGGAGAGGTCCATCTTCCCCATGACCAAAGAAATTTCGACGATCTCAATCAAAGGTCAAACAAATGATGATCTTTGCTTATGATCACCAAGGAATAATCATGACAGACAAGAGTTCCATGTGGGTGAAGTGTCACAGCAGTTTATTATCGTGACTTTATGCAAAATCTGTGCAGAAAAATGCATAAAAACCGACCTCAGTTGCTCGAGGCTGGGCCAATCATTCTCTATGACAACACTTGCCTGCACATCGGGAATGTCATAACAGAAAAGCTGTGCCAATACAGTTGGGAGGTGTTGCCTCAAGCTCCCTACAGCCTGGACATGAGTCCACCAGACTTCGACTTATTCCCAAAGTTGAAACAACCTATGTGAGGCCATCATTTTCCCTCTCTGGAAGAGCTTCCTGCTGCAGTTACCCGAGCCATTCGACAGATAAACAAAGATGGTGTCCTGGATGGAATAGTAAAGCTTCCCACACATTGGGACTCGGTCATTGAGAAGCAGGGGGACTATATTGAAGGGCTGTAAAGAGATATTAAAAAAAATAAACATGGACGTAAACAAAAAATTGTGTGCATTTCTGAAATGACCTAGAAAGTTCCCGATGATTGCAGTTACGAATTCTGTCATGCTAAGGAATTATTCTGAAAGACAATGCATCTAGTGAACACTTTCCATGCTGATGTTTTCAAGATAAAGATAAATTACTTCTTTGTTTTTACATTTCCATAGTAGTGTAACATTATTATTGCTTAAAAGTCATACACATTCATAATGAAATTTCAAAAGGTTAAAACACACATTCAGAGCTGAATAAAACAACATTTCTGAACTAGATGCCCCATATTTGGATTCTCAAGGGTTAAGATAATTTTCTGTAATGAAAGTGGAGATGAAATCCACATACTTTGTGCTTGGAATTCTGAGAGGGCCACACGTTCCAACTGCACACGCAAGAACTCCAATGGGTGCTCCAGCTGCAGCATCAAGCAACTTGACTTTTCATAGTGCAGACGTGACAACAACAACATGTTCTTACGCCGAGCATCATCTGCTGGCAGGGTCCTGCAGCATATCAACAACAAATAAGGCCATTTTGGGAAAACCACAATTTTCTTGGGGCCTTGGTGTCTGGTGGCAAAACACATTAAAATTTACTTCTGAATGTACACCAACAATTTTTAACCAAACCCAAATATAATGTAACAAGATCAGAAAGGAGCATGCCATATATTTTTAATGTTATTAATTATACTGACCATTTAATTGCCATTCATGTTCATTTACTGCAGAAGAAAATCTATTTTTGCAAAACTAATTACACTGCACAGAGTCAGAAATTATTGTTCCTTGTATTCCATTATTCACTACAGTGGAATACCCATTTAGTGTTCCCCATTTAACATTCCATTTCAACGATCCCAAGTCAATAAACTCTGTGTTAAATTACCTCCATTCAAGATTTTCCTTAGTTTAGAACCCTTATCCAGTGGTCCCCACAGAGACCTTAAATAAAGGTTTCACTATGTATTGAAAAACATTCCAAATAAAATTTTATAAACTACATGTGTTACATTATGTTAAGTACCAACTTCAATTCAATAAGCCATCCTTGTTAAAATCTCATACAAATGCTGTTTTGTTAAATTTTGGTTCATATGAAGAATGGGTTATTTTGGATGAATAAAACCAAAATTAAATATGACACAATAACAAATTTCACTGAAGTCAATTCAGTATCTTTGGATAAGAAACATTCTTGACTGATTCTTGGGTTAGTTGACAGTTTTTCAGCCACCCAGGTTCTTACAGTATTGAACTACAGAATGACTATGAACAATGAACTGCAAAGAAACTGATCATGGAATTTTAAGATATCAACCCAGTATTTCACTGAAAATAACAAAGAAAGCTATGGAAGAGGGTAAGTCAGAACAGTTGGCCTTCAGGCCAAGATCTGAACCCTTGACCTAGTCCTGAGAATGAAGCAAGAGCGTCACTCATTACACTGTATTCATTATGTATTCCTTTTATGCAGTTTGTGCACTGAATGTATGATAAAGGATTTGTTGAGTTTAATAATACCACCCCAGCATGAACCAATTTCATTTAACAATTGCTGTTTGCACAAACATCTTTCTCCATTTCTTCTCTTATGTTCTCATGTTAAATGTCTCTTAATGTTCAATATTAGAGTCAATTTTAACGACCACACAACATACTTTTTACTACTATCACACTATATGTTTCGACCTCAAGAGGTCATCCTCAGGTGTACGAACACAGCTGTATAATTACACACCAATTACACCTGAGGATGACCTCTTGAGGTCGAAACATGTAGTGTGATAGTAGTAAAAGGTATGTTACTCGTATGTGGTTGGTAAAATTGACTCTAATATTGATTAAATACACAACAGGATGCAAGAAACAATTAAAGTCTCTTAATGTTGTTTTACATCTCACCTATATGTTTTGTGGTACAGAGATGCAAGACGGTGGTGGATGGTGGCAGCACGGAATTGATAAATGGGCTGGCGTGGGCCGGGTGTGTCAAGGTCACAATATTTCAATGCCTTCATGAGAAACTCTGCTACCTCCTTCTCTGCCTCTTCCTGGCTCTGAACAAACATTGACACACTTACAGAAAGCATGGTTCCAATCTATATAGTGGAATAGCACCAATGATAGCTCCCAGAATGCTCAGGTACTGATGCTGAAAGGTTTAGGGATCAATTCTCATATCGTTGCTACAAAATATCATCAGTTCACAAAGTCTCCATCATCACCACCACTTTGTGGAGTTGGTAAACTGTCTATTATAATACGAGGGTTGGAACTTCAATAGTGGCAACACTGCTGTAGACGCCATGCAACGGAACCAAATAATGTCGCTTATACCACACGTTAGTTACATACCTACCTTACCGCAGAGCAAATGGAATCTCCCTTCCCACATCACGTGCATGCACAGTGATAAGAAGAACAGAGCCTCATGTTAGCTGGCGGTCTAATGTAGTGTTGTCACGTTTTCAAAACAGGAACAATGGAGTTGGATAAAGATTGAATGTGCCAGAGGTCGTACAGCATGACAGTGTCATCAAGGTCTTCAAAAGGCTTGCGATGAATCTGCATTGTCTTACAGAACAGTGGCAAGGTGGGTAAAAGCCTTCAACAAGGGACGACAAAATGATAAGAAGAACAGAGCCTCATGTTATTGTCTTACAGAACAGTGGCAAGGTGGGTAAAAGCCTTCAACAAGGGATGACAAAATGTGGCAGACATGCGTCGGCCAGGTCATCCTAGTGTCAGTGAAGAAGTGTATGCTCTTTTCGCATTACTGGAGAGTGATCAACGCCATACGATTCGTGAGCTGGCCCAAGAGGCAGGATTAGTGCATATGACTGTGCTTCACATTCTGAAGGAACGCCTGGGCTACGATACAACGCTGCTCGTAACCACTTGGAGTTCTATGAGCACGAAGGAGAGGCTTTCTTATGCCATATCATTAAGCCGGATGAGACATGGGCCAAATCGTATGAGTCACAAATGAAACGCCAATTGAATGAATGGCGTCATTACGGGTCACCACGAAAATCAAAAGTTTGTCAGTACCCCAGCAATGTGAAAGTTTTGGTGATTCTCGTGTACGACTGTGATGGTGTTATCCTAACGCATACCGTTCCCTGACAGCAGACCGTCAACGTCCAGTATTACTGTTCATTTTTGGAACACAACCTGCAACCAGCTTTGAGAAAGAAGCAGCGACACTTTCTGCAGAACCCACCCATCATTTTGCAGGACAATGCTTGGCCACATGCAGCGCAGGCTGTGGCTGATTTGTTTGATCGATGGGGCTGGGAAGTGCTGTATCATCCACCATACTCCCTGGACTTAAGCCCTTGCGACTTTGACTTGATTCCTAAGATGAAGGAACCACTTTGTGGCATTCGCTTCAGAACTGTTCCATAGATTCTTCAGGCAGTAGACCGCTCCATTCAAACTATCAACATAACAGGCGCTAGCAACGGGTTGTACACAATGCTGGTGACTACACTGAAGGGCAGTAGAACTTCAAAACATGTATTTATTTTGTTATCAGTTGTAAATAAATAGTTGCCACTATTAAAGTTCCAACCCTCGTACATCTCTTTCCACCTTCTTCTTGGTCCTTCTGTGTCTTGTCTACCAGACAGACAATATTTATAGGCTTGAAGTGGAATGTATGTCTGTTACATCACTTGCATACATATTTTCCATTTGTCTCTATAGTCTATAATTTCTTCATGTAAAGGGAAAATAACCAATTCATTTCTTACCTGATCTGTCCTGGTGAAGATAAGAAAAGAGGACATGCATTCCACAAAGTATCAATACTAAATTAATAGCATCAGTCATATATTATTTTCAATCCTGAAGAAAACTGTCAAATTAAAATAAAATATATGAGCATATTCCTTCAAAATCCATTTATTTTATTACAACTATAGTGCAAGCACAATATAATGAAAATTTATAAAATTTGTATAAATGTTCATTCTGATAAGTACTCATAATCACCTACTGTGACAAGGTAACATTTTGAGGAGCTGGCTTATGTTCTTCTATAACATTTTGGAATGGTGCTGACCATGCATGCTTAAGCACCTCTGCTTCAAGGCTGAGTAAATTCTCTTTTCAGACATACTGTACTAGTTATATTCTCAAATGCTTTCTTCTCGTCACCTACACAAGGGAGATGCCAGAGGATGAATTAATAGTATGTGTACCTTAACTGACTGCCTGTTATGAACTGTTTTGGAAGAAAAACTGTAAGCACTGCATAAAATTTCACCTTTTATGCAACAGTTTCCTGTATATATGAGGGCTATTTGGAAAGTAATCTCCATTTGCTTGCATAAGCAAGGTAGCATCACATGACTCACTGACTTTGTAAACCATCACATAACTGGTCACCTAGTGTTTGATTTTGTCTTTAGAGAGTGAGTTGTCATGTGTCCTGTTATCGATAATCTTGTCAGCTGCGAAATTCACACTGTTATCGCCTTTCTTCATTCTAAAAACATCAGTGCTGTTGAGATTCATCGTAAATTATGCATGGCAGCTCACGGTCAAAATGTAATTTGTGAAGAAACTGTAAGACAATGCTGTAGAATGTTCTAAGTTGGGTGGGCAAACAAAATGGTAAGCCATCTGCAGTTAGTGATCATAAGACTATCATAAGTTTTGCACAAGACGGGTTCTACAAATGCTCATGGGTGCACACAAAATGCAGAGGGTGGCTTTAGCTTTGACTTTTTTAGAGTGATACCACAAAGATGGCAATGAATTTCTCAATCACATCATAGAAGTAACAAGTGATGAAATCTGGGCTTCACTTATGAATATTGAAACCAAATAGTCAAAGCAGATGATGCACACACATTTGCAAACAATTAAAAAAGTTTAAATAAACATCTGCTACCAGAAATCTTATGGTAACTGCTTTCTGGGACAGGAAATGAGTGCTGATGGTGGAATTCATGCAAAAGCAATGACAATAACATCAGATGTGTATTGTGAAACAATTAAAAAAAAACTGCACAGCACAACTGAGAACAAAAGGCGTGAAGTGCTGATATGCCATGTAGTGCTTCTCCATGACAATGTGCATCCACATACAGCTGCTTGCAATCAAGCACTGGCAAAGCATTTCAACTGGGAGTTGTTTGACCACCCTTCTTACAATCCCGATCTTGCTCCGAGTGACTGCTACCTGTTTACCTACCTGAAGAGCATGTTATGATCACAGCACTTCAACAATAATGAGGAGTTGATGGAAGAAAATGTGGTATTCTCTGATACAACAGGTACCTCAATTCTGGCAGTGACTATGTTGAGAAGTAGCTTAAGTATGTCCGCATTTTCTACACATAATTTTTTTTCTCATTGCTTGTTCTGTTAACAGCTCACTGGAAGTTACTTTCCAAATAGCCCTTGTATAAAGTTAAGAAATTAATTGTGATGATGATTTTTGTCACTGAAATGAAGCTCTTGTTATAACTAACATTCATTCTACCATTGTTACCCTGCATTACAACTAGTAAAGGTATTTTTAAACTTCTGGGGATTTCTATCCTATGACAGATAAGTCTTTCAATATGCATGTATGTTGCCAGTCATCTTTCTTAGTGGGCGTTCATGTTTAACATTTAGAGAAGAAACAGTTTTGGTATGGCTTTAGGATATAGGAACATGTATTCAGAAGAAGGACAAAACAGACCATTTCACAGAAGAGAGGATTGAGAAACCAAGGTATTTGGAAATGGTGATTTCTGTCAATAAATTATCACATGCAGGTTGCTTAATTTTCTTTCCTTTTCCATCTTGTTCTTGCTGAACCAGATGTTGGAATATTAAGTCCATTTCCCTTCTGAGCATTAGATCAATGCTACCACTATTATCATGTGCTTGTTAGATTAAGGGAGTGTGCAGTGACTTTAAACTTTACCCCTTTTATCAAAGGTCATTACTTGGATTATTAATGATAGGAAAAAATTCAGAAAGTCTGAGTAGTTCTAGCCAGCAAGGAAACTAGAAACTGATGTAGAAAAAGCAGCGCAATTTCCACTGAGGAGCCAAAATTAGGATCCGAAGGACAATATTATGATACATACCTGAACTATACCAGGGGGCCATTTCCCTGGAGGTAAAGTAGCTGGGCTGTGAAGCTGACCATTCACCTCCATCTATTGCTGAGGTCAAGAATGCAGGAGCTATACCTCCACTCCCCCATGTCTTCATAGTACAGTGCTTAATTAATTAAACTCGGGGACAACTTTTTACCTGAATTGTGGGTTTGTGGGCAATATGAGCACTGAATAGCCATATTCTCAATATGTTTTGTGGGGGAGGTGCAAAACAATGAGGCTTTGAAACTGCAGAAAATAATCCGATATTGAAACAAAGCATAGTAACAGCTAGAACAAAGCCCCGAGTCTTCTGCAAACAAAGATCATCTGACTAACATAATGAAGTTAAACTGATGGAGGATGTTGGTGGTAATAATGAATTACTACCAAAAGCTTCCGTCTACATTTCATTTAGATTTGCATAACCACTCATAAAAACCATACGAAGTATCAATCCACAGAAAGATGCTTATGAAGATATCTAACAGCGTGAAGACTCTGTGTTTTAGTACTTACAAAGGCCAGTTAGGCTTAATGCTCTGAAGGTTGATGAGGGAGACTGGACTTAACAATCACTCAGTCATAAGAAGATTAGTTACTTCAGACCTGGGGCCACACTATAGTTCAAGCGGTTAGCTGCTAGCTTCCCACCATGGCAGCCCGGGTTCAATCCCGGGTCTGGTCAAGTGGGATTTGTGTTGGACAAAGCGGCACTGGGGCAGGTTTTCTCAGAGTACTTCGGTTTCCTCTGCCAATCTTCATTCCACCAATTGCTCCATAATCACCCTCACCTATCATCTGGGGCTGGTACAAGGGACTTAGTCCCACCCCACTAGCAACAAAAAAAAAAAAACTTCAGACCTGTGTTTTCTTTCTTGGTCTCATACAATCTGCCATTATTACCTTCATGTTCAATTCTGGAAAGTCTTGCAAGAGAGTGCCCATGGTGAACAATGTTGTGGACAGTTCCCATATCACAGTGTCCCAGATTGCTGGGTTATTCTTCCGAGTATTTAAAACTTGCACTGCTTTTTGGTAGCTACTCAAAGCCTGAAATGTGGTGACATTTTGGTAACACAAATCTAAGGACAATTAAATCATATATATTATAAAAAGAAGACCATCACATTTCAATACGTAATTCTTGTACCCTCATTTTTATAGCGAAATTAAGGAGGAAAAATAAATGAAGCTCACAACTAATCCATTTATTGTGTACATGTTATAATGTATATACAGGTGTTTTATGACTTTAGGGCATAACTGCAAGAGGTGATTTCCTAGGTCTTTGTGATCAAAAAGGTTCATATAAACATGTGTCCGATTTTGGACATTTACGGAGTTATGACCATTTTAAACTCAGAGTAGAAGGTAACACTTACTGACAATAAACGGAACAAAATAATAAACCAGCATAATACATGATACATTTAAAGTATTAATGTAAAGTTAACTTCGTGAAATTACCTTTAATTTGAATTGATTGGTGCTTAAAGCTGATTTTCGAAATGCCACTGCCGGCCACAACACAGGCTGCCCCTCGGTTGTGAAAGGCGCGGGTAGCACGTAGCAGCTTCAGCTGGCTGTTTCTTATGTGGTCAGCGGTGTCCAGAAAGCGACTGAGCAAAACAGCTCGCGCTGCCACCTTCACATTGTAAACCATTTCTTTCATCCATCCCCACACATAATAATCCAGTGGGCTCAAGTCTGGAGACGTGGCTGGCAATTCTTCATGTACTCGTACGTGGACTGCGGTGTACCATATGAACAATGCCTTCTTCATTGATGCCTTCATTAACACCATGCTCGGCTGCAATACGAACGCTGGAAAGGCTACTGGTATCTTGCAATGCCTGGTAAACTCCAGTAAATATTCCCCGGTTTGGTATTCTATGATTCGGAAACCATTGCTGATATTCAGCTACGGCAAGAACTGAGTTACCATCACAAAACCCGTACACATAAATCATATCTGCATACTCCTCAAATGAAAATGTAAATGGCATCGTGAATGTAACAGACACAGTGAGATGGGAACTGTTCTGAACACCAGTAGCCGCCACACTAGCCGTGGCTGGACATACAAACCCACCACACCTTAGGTACCTCTCAAGTGTTGAGATAACAAGAACACTCTGTCTGTAGCTGGCTAAAAATAGCGACCCGCCAAATGATGGGCGCGGTTCACACGAGGGCGTGTACGGGAAACCACCTCCTGCAGTTATGCCCTAAAGTCGTGAAACACCCTGTATATTTATTTTATCCATGTGGTCTCCATGTGCATCACTTATTTCATCCAATGAATACTGTTAGTAAATCTAATAGTGGTTGATGTTATTTATACCACATTACAAGTGACATATGGTTCGTTTCAGTGCTCCTTGTGACCCTGAAATGCCTACCTGTTCCTAAAAATGAATTCAGGGGGGAAAGAGAAACAACTGTTAGGACCAGTGTTTCATATTTTGGTGATGTGATGCTGATTTCCTCATTATCCACAATATTAACTTTTAAATAGAAAATGAAGTGAAACTCAAGTTATCCAAGCAAAGGTACTGTGTGTTTTGAGCTGGCTACTTTATGTTGCTACAGGAGGACCTCATTTTGGTTAATGTTTTTAGATATAAGGATAGATTAAATTCTTTATCTTCCTTTCGAAAACCAAGGTCACACTTCTACATGGGTTATTCCCCAGAGTGAGACACTACATTTCCGGAAATTATGTGGGATCTGCTTGGTGGACAGATGTAAACTGTGAAACGTAATTCGACTGGCAGTCACACTTACCTTATTATAAAAGTGACGTTCTTGTCCCGCCAATCCTGAATGTCGGCCACTCAAATCAGGAGAGTGAAAGTGAGCACACATTCTCATCAAGCGGCCAGTGTTGGAGTGTAGCAATGCGAGGTTGGCTTCATCATGCACAACACTGAATGCCTTCACTCCAGCCTCCAAATGATACAGGGACTGAGTGAACAGTTTCTGGAACACGCTCTCATGAGGCTTCTGCTGCTGCTGGTTCACCTCTTCCTTGTACCTTGCTGCAAGGAACAGGAAAGTCAGCTGCTATATTTTCTGACTCATCACAATGAACAAGATATGAAAAATGTTCTTTGTAATCTTCCAAACTTTATTCAACTTTATACTGAGTGGTCATAAAACAGAAAAACAAAAACAAACTCCATGATTTTAGTGTGCAAGCGAACTATACCGACTGACACTTGTCGGCGAAGTTTAATTTCAACTTTTGTGGACAGAGGGTGTTGCATGGTCAGTGAAACGAATCCTCATGGCCGTTAATTTCGGTTTTCTAGACTAAGAGTTACAAATCTATTATTACAAATACAGAACCATCATTACAAATATAACCGCACTACTGATACAGTGTTTTGAGTCAGAAATTAATCTTCCTTTATTTCATTACTCAGCCATAACAGTGAAAAATACTACAAATAAAAGTTTTAGATTGTTAAGAAATTATATTTTATTAATAAAATTTCACAAAAATCTGTTCAGTAACAGAGAGATTAAACTTGTAAATGGACATAACCTCCATATTATGTATTAATTTTGTACACTGTATACAAAGACCACATTAACCCTTTCGCGCGGTGATTTAAATTCCGCTACCGTGTCTCTCCGGCGGTAATATATTCAGCCGGCCATTTAAATTTTGCTCGAAAATGATTTATTCATTATTGTTCTTAAATTCTATGAGATAGGAACATGAAACTTTCACTAAAATGANTATCGCTAGCCAGATTAGCTGCAGTAAATTCAACCTTTATGTTATCATAACAAGTGTTGGTGCTTCTGCGTTTCATTTTCCATCCATTTTGGCGGCATAAGACGTCGTAGGGGTGACCACAGAATTCATGAAGTTATTCTAAGAACTGGCTGGTATGTAGTGAACGAAAGCAGAGCTTAGCTGGCTCAAAAAAATATTTATGGTCATCCCTCGAAACGACCACCAAGGTCAATACGATAAAATGGAGTCAACTGGAGCGATAATACATGAAGGAATGAGTTCTTTTCCCTCCCCCACACACACCCGTATCGTCACAGGGGGTGACCACAGTGTTCTGCCTTAATTTGTGGCGTTTTTCTAAGAACTGGCTGCCATGTACTGTGCGAAATCAATCGATCTTGCAAGAATAAAATTTGGACATCCCTCTTCTAAGAATTCCAATTGAGTGTGTTAGTGTGGCCAGCTCAGGGCAATATGATATTATAAACACAGCACATATCACGTCTCTGCTGTTTATAACTTCATAGGAAAGAAAACACACCATTCATAACAGCTTGAAGGAGGAAAGTTCTACCAGAAGCAACAGGAATTTGCTGCAAGACAGGCATATGTAACGATGACTTAGCGCTCTTAAACTCGTGTGTCATTAAATATAGTTCTCCTGACAACAGGCCAGCGAAAAATCTAACAATCTACAGCAAAACCATCAATTATTATGGGCGTTATAACATAGGTGTGCAGCTGGACGAAACATTGACGTCGAACCCCCCCAGACGATTTAAATACCTTGACGAAACATACACGTCAAACCACGCTGAACGGTTAAGAAACAAGGAGTTCAAGGATTCAGTCCATTAACAGCTTCCAACTGCATTCTTTGCAGCTTAATAGCTCTGATCACAATCTCAATATTCATTTATGGGAGACATAAATCATGTGCATGGATATCATACTGCATACACAGCCTTTTACAGTTACATTTTGTTATAGCGTGTGTAAGAACATCCCAAATAAAACTGTTATTAAAGAATACTAGTGTAAGATCAGGGAGATGGAAGAATAGAATTAATATGGATCACAGAGACATAGGTTGCAAGGGGGTTGGAATTCTTTCAGAACTGTGTCTAATGGTGGGCTTTCACATTACTCACAGAACAACTGCACTTTCCTACCACAGTTAGTTTAGTACAGGTTCCTGAACTCCGTACACAAGGGTATAATGGTGTACAATGTATTCCATCACTACTATTTATACAAACATCAGTTTCTTAAACATCAATAAATTATGAAGAAAGCCGTATTCTGGGATGTGGCACCATGTAAATATTGTATTAACTGACATTTAGAAGGAACATATCGCCTACATCTTCAGTGTAGAAGAAAAAGAAGAAAAATCCACGAGTGAGGAACCAGCGTGAGCAGGTGCTGACCGACTAATGTTGAGTCAAATAAACCCAGCTATATAAGAGCAGGAAGAGAAGGGAGAGGGGGCTACATGGGAAAAGTAAAGAGGAGAGGCGAAGGATCTGTGAGGATGGACTCGCAGGTATAGAATACTGTGTTGGTGGAGAAAGGCAAGTTTAAAGGAGGGCGTTAACCCAGAGGCTTCGGGCTGCGATATCAGTCGGGCTTGGACACACGTGGCCTTGTGGATCTGGCATCATGTCCCAGAGGTTCTTGAGGGAACAGATGAGAGGCTTCCATGACTTGCTGAGACAAAACCCCACCTCTCTGTTCATATTAACGGGATAGAGTTCAATCTCAATGGACTCCTTAATGATGTGATCCATATCCTCAAACCTCAAATCTTACATCAATAAATTAACTGACTGCATCAATATTCAAACTTTGGAATACAATTACCTCACAGACTTCATCATCTTTGTGGAAAATGACAAGCATATGCATATAGGCAGTCACATAGCTATTCAAGCATGAATGCGATATCCTATTCATTACTTTCACCACAACTTGGAGAGTAACTGGCTGGTTAAAATATCAAGAGGTTTAGAACTGGATGATAAATTGTCTCCAAACAGTTGAACTAGATTCCTCATAAACATAACTCAGGCATATTAATCCAGTGGTTCTCAACCTCTGTCAGACTGCAGCCCAGTAAATATTTTTTATAAGAAGAGGGCCCAGTACCAGCAGCTGAGAAACACTGCATTAATCCACTTACTGGTTATGGAAGAAGAAACATAAAACACAGGAAACTTCAATTCAAATTTCTACACTAAGATGCAAATTTGACTCTTCCCAAATACAAGACAAGCCTCAAAGTGTTCAGTGGAAATAATAATACTACCTGCTGCTAGGTTCATGTACATAACTCCTAGCTCATTATGAATATTTCCAAGTCTGCGCTGGAGATTGTTCTTCTGCTGGTCATGGGACTCCAAGGCCAGTGCTTTCTGATAACAGCAGCAACTAGCCTGCAGCATCTGCTCCATATTATCAACAGTCTCAGGGATTACATCTTGCTCTGCAAATAAGAAAAGAGTAGCTGCATGCCCCTCTTGTTTTACTCCTAGGGAAGGTGCCTCTGGTGCCCAATGGAGAGGAGGTTGGGTGGGCTCCAGAACCAATCTGGATGTAAATGAAGAAAAAAATCTTTCTCTTGCCAGGAACCAAACCACAGTCATCCAGCCCTTAGCCCATTGTCATGCCAACTAATCTATCACAGCTTTGCATAATTTCTGCAAAAAATAAAAGTTAAATATGAGGTGTATCCACAAAATAAGTTCTGTCTGCAAACAGTGCCACTACAGCACTGCAGTCACTATGGTGCGCATGCATGCAGAGTCTGTTGGTTCTTTTTGAAGGCCTGGATGCCATTTGCAGACAATCTAACTGTGTTTATGCATCGTCCTGTGTGTTTACAACGTTCAAGAAAATCAAGAAGCCCGCTGCATGTGAAATGTGGTCTGTAATCCTTTTCTTGAATGCAAGAAACATGAAACTGGCTGACATTCATCAACTTTGTGAGGTGTATGAAGAACATGCCATGAGTGGTTCAGTGGTAAGGAGATGGGTGAGAAATTTTAATGAAGTACGTGAAAATGTGTATGATGATCCGTGGAGCAGCCAACCATCTGTGGTTAATGAAGATTTGGTGCATGCAGTGGAAAAGAAGATTCAAGAGAACAGACAATTAGGAAAATGTGTTCATGCTGGGTGCCGAAGATGCTTACGCATGAACATAAAATGAAACTGCAGGCCAGTGCATTGATCTTTCTGACATGATACAGTGAGCAAGGTGATGACTGCTTAAGCCGCATAGTCACAGGAGTCAAAACATGGGTGTCACATGTAACCCCTAAATCGAAGCAGCAGTCCATGCAATGGAGGCACACTTCATCGCCAATAAAGAAAAAATTCAAACACACCATTTCAAATCGCAAGATCATGCGCACAGTGTTTTGGAAGAAAAGAAAGTGTTCTGCTTGTGGAATTATTGCCTCAAGGCTCAACAATTAATGCAGGTGTCTATTGCGACACGCTTAAGAAACCGCGTTGTGCGATCCAGAACAAGTGACATGGCATGCTTAGTCAGGGTGTTATGATTCTTCATGACAACGCCTGCCCATACACTGCAGCCGCAACGCAAGATCTCATCATGACATTTGACTGGGAACAATCTGATCATCCCCCCTACAGCCCAGACTTAGCACCAAGTGATCTTCATGTGTTCCTGCATCTGAACATTTTCTTTGGTGGCCAGCAGTTCCACAACAACAAAGAGGTCAAAGAAGCCTGCATTGCAGGAGGCATCATTCTACGATGCAGATATACAAAAACTGGTGCCCTGCTACGACAAGTATCTCAAAAATGGTGAAAACTATGTCGAAAAGTAGCATACAGTATGTACATCAAATGACAATATAAATGGCTTGGAAATAAATTGTTTTTTTAATAACCCATCAGAACTTACTTTCTGGATAGCCTACATACATTATGGTAAAACAGCATGGAAAGTTTTGATCAAGTTTTCTGAAAAAATAATGCCAGGAACAAAGAAAAAACTGTTTTCAAAATGACGTGAAAGTTTCAGTTGGACAAAATTTAGAGGATGGGTGAACAGTGTACAAACCATCAAAGGACTACAAAATTCCATTCCAAACACTCTTAAGGAAAGTTTGTTGATTGCACCTAAAACTATGGAGAAATGCATATTTTGGAAGGGAAAATTCTGTTAAATTTCACCTTGCAAGATAAGATTAAAACTGTCAGCTACGTAAGTGAGATGCGGTCCATTGGTTTAGGATTAGTGCAACCACTGTCAGACAATTTGTGTTTCACATGGCAAGGATAAGATGGAGAGACAGAAATCCCTCAGTAATGTACCTGACTCTGGATGTTTTATTTCTGATGCAAAATTTGAATAGTGATAAACATTTCAAATAAAGACCTTGATAGCTCTACTATTTATGACTTTATTGCCATGGCTTTTCAACTTTGCTTTAGAATATGCCATTAAGAAGGCCGAGGAAACACAGGTGAAATTAGTTGAGTTCACCCATATTTTTACCTTGCAACAACAGTTTATACTCACGGTAACTTGAAGTGCCTTCATGTGATATACCAAGTATGGCCAGATCCTTTTCCACTTCCATCATGATATCACAGTCTAAAGTGGTGGAGTGAGCATAGTCCTTACGATGAGTGTCCACCTGAGTCCAGTTCTGAACAATCATAAAGCAGCAGTCTCCAGCGCGGCCCAGGAGGTAACTCTGCAATCCCACACTACATGAAGAACTTGCAAGTGCCGCCAACACACGAAGCACATGTACAATGTAATGCAGGGATCTGCCTGTAACAGCATCAGAACAGTGGAAAGTCATTACTTCCACATGCAGAGTTTTCCTTCAGTTGAACATCTCACCTGTCTTGTTTCAATCATGCCAGTAAAGGTAAAAAAGTAAAGCTATCCCTGTACCAGGCCGTGAAGGCCCATAGGGTTGTGAGACGTTGAGGGTCCCACACTATCTAGAAAATAGGCTCAAAGACGGCGGTAAGGTTGTCAGCCTTACGTGCCGGCTGTGCTTTACTCCCCAGAAAAATTATTTAATTAATTCCTGGTACTCACTTCTGTTAGAGGCTGAGTAAACCCCAGGGCCTAGTGCGGCTGGAAGGATTAGGTCAACTGAAAAAATCCAATGACCTCATTGGGACTTGAACCCGTGACATAACGGCTTGTAGCATAGCCCCTCGATCAACTACGCTACCGCGTGCCCCTCAATCATGCTAGTGAAAATTATAACCTTTTGGGTATGCTACATCCACCTAACAGCTGTCTTGTAGTGATAAAATCTTACTCAGGTGAACAGCAATGTCACTCCAAGGCAGATATCTTGACACAGCTGATCAGCAGAGAAGATTCTATCACGTCTAGTTGCAGTGACAGCTTCATGTCTTACATAACTCTCATACTTCATAAAATTTTGAAGCAGTCTGATATGGGAGACCCTGATTAAAGCTTTCCATGAAAATATTAATTTGAATTACATATTTAAACACTTTAAGAGCATAACAATACTGGAAAAAGTGGGCGATCCTTAATACAGTACAAAAGGGTTTCAATGTGTATGTGTCTTTGTGATAATCACAAGGGAATACTTCTATGGCATCAATCTTTATGAAAATCAAAATGCCCCTACAGCTTCCTGTATGAACCTCTCACATTAAATTACTCAAAATGTGTACAGTAGTTCTCAAGTTCAAACATATGCATGGACAGATAAACAGGTGTGACCTCACCGATATATGGTAAGATTATACACATCATGCAAAGAATGTACAATCAGCCTTTCTAACTTCTCTATTCACCCCATTAAATATTTGTCAAACTAAAACATGTTGATCTAAAGTTCTCACAATGGCATTTAAAGCTGTGTAGACTGTGTAGTCTGTTGAAATTCAACCAAAGTCTTGGTGAACAAATCACTCTATCTTCAGGGCTGAATAAGGTGAGCAAGATACCAGTGCAAAAGCACGTGGCAAAGACCTGAATCCATGCTGGTATCTTGCTCGGCTTATTCGATCCTGAAGATGGTGGCGATATGTGCCCTCCAGAACGTTAACATCCAAAGGGCTTTCATGACCTGTGCTGATAAATTCAAAGGTCCTTCCACAACAGAGGTTAGATCTGTGATTTATGCAGTGAATTCTGACCTTGTGACCATATTTGGAGGGATGACATCATACCTACTTGTTCTAGTGAATAAGGCTTCTCAGAACCATTTGAAACAACTGTGTTACAAAGGGCATCAGGCAGAGGACCATGTTCTGACACCATCAGAACAATACAGAGGGCCAGAAAGAAATTGCTGTGCCAGCAGATCAAGACCATTGTAACTGATCTCACCAGAAGTGATAGTCAAGAATTTAAAAAGTGATGTATATCTGATGAAATGAATGGAATGCAGGATGAGGAAGAAGATGGGAATGTTGGCCATGAATATGAAAGGGTGAGCAGTGAACATGTGGTAAAAGATGGAAACTGTGAAGACATTGAAGCTGAAACAGATGATAGGAATGGAACACAGTGGGACTGGTGTGGCTGCGCCATAGCTCAAGCGGTTAGTCGCTGGCTTCCCACCGCGGCGGCCCGGGTTCTATCCCAGGTCTGGTGAAGTGGGATTTGTGGTGGACAAAGTGACGCTGGGGCGGGTTTTCTCAGAGTACTTCGGTTTCCCCTGCCAATCTTCATTCCACCAATTGCTCCACAATTACCCTCACCTATCATCTGGGACTGGTACAATAGACCCATTTCCTATCACAGGATAGTCTCACATTCTGAATCCCTTCCAATCTGGTAAATATACTGAAAAAGTTGCTAGTGTCATAAATTATTACCATGAAAAATTGTTCTGCTATAGAAAATTCTCATTTTTTTCTTGATCCTTGAAATTCTGCCAAATTCTGATCTTGACGAAAGTCAATCTCATACATACCTACAGAGTAGATACAAAGTATTGTGACATGTTGCGCAATGGAGGACAACCCCTCCCCCCCAACAGCAGCGTTGCATTGTGGTCCCACGTCACAGCG